CAAGGAACTCCATAGGTTACTCTTTTTCAAACAAGTTCACAATACAATTCTCTAGTTACATAGTTTTGTTGTTTGGGTTGTGTGAAAAAAAATGTAACACTAAAATCCAGTCAAAGTGATCGAAAAAGAAAATAACCTTAAAGACAATAAATAATACAGTCTGGAGCTGACCAGTCCCAGTTGGCGGCGCCCGTTCACGACCATTACACGTACACCAGCACCGCCCAACTCAACCATATTGTAGGGAATCGAGCGATCCACTGCACGCGCCACCGCCAATGAGACCTTTGAGTGAGCATGACAACTCCAAGCTGACATAAACGTATTCAACTATTCTAATTTAATATTCAGTTAATTACAGGGCTCTCACATTTACAATGATTATGTAAGTTAAACAATATACAAATGAGCAACATAGCTGTATTAATTACATGTTTGGATTTCATTAAAACATCAATGTTTTGCTTGCTTGCATCCAAGCATAAAGTTTTTTTTATTCATAATTTAAATTTTGTTTCATTTAGGTGTTGTATGTCGCCTGGTATCTTGTTATAACATTTAACACAGAATCCCATGAACGACTTACTTACTTTCGCCAATCTCAAAGTTGGTTGACTTAATCTATTCTTATGTCTAGTTTGATAGTGATGTCTGTCCGACACTTTACCAAATAACTGTAGGTTTTTCCTAACATACATGATGTTTTCATTGATAAATTGACATGGAACGGTCATAATGTTGATCTCCTTAAACCTCTCTCTGAGAGATTCGCGACGACCTATGTTGTAGGTAGCTCTGACGGCGCGATTTTGTAAGATAAAGACAGACTCAAAGTCAGCAGCGTGTCCCCACAGCAAAATGCCATACGACATAATGCTATGAAAGTAACTGATGTACACTAGTCTTGTCGTGCCTATGTCAGTTAACTGTCGGATCTTCCAGACAGCATAAGCTGCAGAGCTCAATCGTCCCGCTAATGATGTAATGTGAGGACCCATTGCAATTTGTCGTCTACAGTAATTCCCAGGAAAGTTGTCTCTGTTACAAACTACAATCTCTCACCATTCAACAATATGTCACATTCATTGCTTTTAACGTTTGGCAAAACAAATCTAATACATTTTGTCTTTTTATCGTTTAATATTAAGTTATTTAATGTAAACCAATTATGAACCTTCATTAGGGCTTTATTTACGTCGTCATAATTATTTGTTCGTCTATTTATTTTAAAAACTAATTAGTTGTGTCATCAGCAAATAATACCATCTGAGGTTTTTTTAAATAAATGGGGCAAGTATTGAGCCCTGCGGTACACCCATAGATATGCTAGCACCCTGTGAATATACTTTATTTACCTGTACTTTAAGTTGCCTATCCTGAAGGTATGATTTCAACAGTTTTAGCGACGTCCCACGAATGCCGTAGTATTTCAGCTTCAGCATTAGTTTCTCATGTTCAACACAGTCAAATGCCTTCGAAAGATCACAAAATATTCCGATGGCATCCCGTGCTTCTTCCCATGAGGCGAAAACTCGCTTAATTAGAGCCACTCCCGCGTCAGTAGTGCAGCGACCCTTGGTGAATCTGTTATAAACGGAGAAAAATAAGCAATATAATTCATTAATTAGAAGTTAACTAAATAAGAAAGTATTGTAAATTAATAAGTCAAACTACAAGTAACGTTTTACTAATTATATTTCATATTTAAGAAAATAGGTTCTGTATATCATATCATAAGTATTATTAAACACAAACTATTAACACTAAAACATGTATTTAATCACAATTACACATCATACACATTATATTATTATAAGATAACAATAATGCTTTATTACTTTTCCTGTAAAAAACTTTATAGCAAAAATAGCAACTTCAAGAACAATATTGGTACTTAACTTAGTATTGGTGTATTCTCCTTCGAAACCAGACGAGAACTAACTCGAAAGTCACTTGTACTTACCTTTTATACTTTCTACCCACATAAGTCAGTTTATCAATTAATTACTAATTAAATTATAAAGTTGAACCAAACATATTAAGACATCCGCAAACACTGTTTTAAATATTAATTTACATAAGAAATAATATTAATATAATTGTTTTTAATGAAAATAATTAAATGACAAAAATATTACAACTTCCGGTAACGGTTTTAAACATTCTATCTAAATACAATATTAAGATATTTATAATTAAATTTTACATTATTTATCAAATCCGTATTGTTGAGCATGAAAGACGGAATTAATGTTAAAGTGACGCAACATCTGAGAAAGCCTTTCAAACACTTTGCTGAGTGCTGGTAAAATAGAGACCGGTCTATAATGATTGGGTTCTGTTAGGTTCCAAACGTGGCTTCGCCCGCCTTCCCGTGCGGTACAAAGTACCCTATGTGTTATACCATAACATAACTTACCCCTGTTCCAAATGTCATCCCGATCCCTTCAGCCGTTTTGACATGTTTGAGTAACAAACATACACACCCTGTCACATGATGATGTCGATCGCTTACCATCGGGTGATACGTCTGCTCGTTTACCGGCTTATACCATAAAAAACATTTATAATATTAGTAAAGCAATTTGATTACCTGTACTAGTGCACTGTGCAGGTCTTAACAATATGGATGTGTGTCCCTAAAATAATAGGCAGGGTACCTATTAAGGTAGGGTGGAGACAGTAAAAGTGCTATTGGTCTGTGTCATAATATTGTATTAGGAGAAGGAGACTGTATCCCCGATTTGACTACTCTCGTAAATTTAAAGAAACCCCTAAGCTAAGCTAGGTAACACTTAGTCGTTTTTGTTTTCACCAACCTGTAACTGACACGTAACAGTACAAGTAAGGGGTTTGTTTTGTGCCTACAGCCCTAGATTATAAGTATGATGTCATTTGTCTAGTGTATAAGTCATAGGTGTATTCCTAAATATATTAGTATCGATTTGTGCATCCTAATAAACGCACGTGTATATTGGCCTACTGTTTTATTGATACTCACCTAAGAAAGTACATCATACATACTTTGGACAGCAAGTGCACAGTTTATATGCTACGTCATGCTAAGTAACACTTAGTTAAGAGATGGTTTAGGGGTGGTAAAACGAGAGAGCGAAATAATAGTCGGCACTGCATACAAACTGATTTATTCAACTTAATCTTGAGCTTACAGTAGTCGAGCGAGCGACGCCCGGCGCCATCAATATTACATTATTATATTAACTAATATTCTATACTAAGCAACTATCATAACGTGATACACACGACAGCTCGTAACGTACCGCGGCACGGTAGCGCCATCTAGTACAACAACATCAATAACAGAGCAAGTAGTTCCGGACCTTACAACTAGATAGCGCTACGTGTATAACCATCATGGCTCGTTTCGTTTGGTCTTACATTACAGGGGATCACAGATTTGTGCCAAATTATGCAATTACAGAATCTTATACTAAGTAACTCTCAATGATTTTTGTAAATTACAATAATTAGTCTAACTACAATATAATTTACTCATTGTTACACTCTAAACTTGATTGACTAACACTACTCACTACATCCTCAGATCTCACTCTGATTACCTCTTGTGCGTCCACTCACAACTCGCGATAAATTCAAACAATATAAACAAATAATTTTGATATCTTTGATTTAGAATCGACTTACTAACTATTCAAACTAGCTAATTGTACGATTTTAATATTTCCTACTTAAGAGATCCCCCGATGGAGTTGGCTCTATACTAAGTTGAGAACAGACTAGAATGCACGGAGCGCTGACTGACGCAGATGTTACGAGTGTGTTACAAGCTTTATTAAAAAAATACTCTTAACAATACGTTCTTTGTGTTGTATCACCGACATGTTCAGACATCTCACACACACACACACACACAATAAGTTAACTCGTACGAGTGTAGCCACCGACTGACTGCGTCAGTGTGGGTGAGACGTACGAATTACTATCATGTCAACTTTATAAAATATAGGTCTCTACACGGGAACTGAACCCACACCACACACTTTGACTACATTCGATCGGTAACTACACAGGGAAAGGACAAACAAACAAAAAATGGTACATAACTATAATATGTGTACTATTCACAAACCTTCTATATATATTTTAAAGGGATCGATCGATGGTAAGCAATCGTCGCCGTCTGTATACACCCGCAATACCAGTGGAGTTACAGACGCATTGAGGGCGTAAATGAGTTCTGTGAGAGTGAGACAGAACGTGTGAGACTGTGAGACTGTGAGACTAACACAGGCTTGTGAATAGTACCGTGTTATAAGTCAGCAACAACATGCAATACATGAATGGAGCGGCCGGCGCGGCGACCGACAATATAATACAGACGACTGGCAATCTTTGGTATAGTGACGACTCGTCCCGGCGCGGGGCTCGCGGCATCAACACACAGAAGGAAATCAACATTATTATTATACGCAGGTGTACAGCAGACACATGGCACTGACAATTGACCGGGCGATACAATATATTACATATTACGGTGTATATAGCGATATATTATATAGCGACACACGCCGCGCTACTCGGAGACAATCAGCGCGCCGCACGCTGCGCCATGTCTAGTCCGCTCCGATACACAGCCATACACACCCGTACACAGCCATACACAGCCATACACAGCCGGACACGACTTACACAGACGCGGAGCGGAGAAAACATCGCGCAGCACCGGGGCGCGCGATATGTCTGTGAGTAACTGCGGCGGGCAGTGCGCGCGGGGGCAGGGCGGGGAGCGACAGGGCGGGGAGCGACAGGGCGGGGACGGTGCGGCGCAGGGAGTGTACTCTGCCTCCAAGGTTGGTCTACACCGAGCTCGTGTGGCGCCGCGACATGATCCACTACCAAAGCGCGGGGCCCGGCGGGCCGCGTCTCGGAATACTACAAGCTGCGACTGCTTTGGTAGACATCATCGGGGACAGGGGGCGCGGGGGCGCGGCGCCACACGGCGCGGACTGTGGGCCCGCCTAAGTGAACAGGAGCGCGGGGTCGGCGTCCGTGAGCTCGCACACGAACTGGTCCTGCTCCAGCGGGCGCTTGATCCAGCTTCCTAGCTTCGCCTTCTCGAACGCCTCGATCAGCCGCTTCTTGGCGAGCTACACACGAACAGACACACAGACACACATACAGTACGCGCTACGA